GTGCAGCCATGCACAACTCTCAGCGACTTGCAGACGTGCCCACTTGTTCGCCTCCACTGTGGGGCTCTGCCGGGAGCCATGCAAAGGCACCGCATCACCACACCCGGCCTATCGGGCCAAGCGGGGGACCCGAGACCCCCAGGTCCACAAAGCTTCAGTGGTTGCTCCTTGCAGGGCCCCAGACACCTCTGGGGAGAGGGCATCGCATCCCCCTCTTCTGGATCATTGGCTGGTACCAGGGATGGCAAAGAACAAGCAGCACCTTCTCACGGAAGCTCGGATTCTCATGCCACCGAGTTCTCATCCCATAAGGACTGCTTTATTCGCCACTGCAGTATTTTGGTACATGAAGAGCTCCAGTGAGCATTCCTGATAGCTATCCAATTGACTCACATCATCTGCCATAAAAGAAATGCCCAGAAGGAGCCATCTGTTGCTATTAAGACTGAAAGACGAGCTCCTTTGTGGCACATGGAGCATTCTGACCCAGGATCTAAGAGTATTGTGTTGTGCTCAGATCAAACCATAAGACATGAGTGGGTGTATTTTTCCCATCAATGGACCAAGCCTCAGAAGCACCGTGTCTGAAGAACCTGCAATTCGCCGTGCCCAATGGGGAGACGAAGTTCTTAGTGGCACGTGGATTTTCTAGTCAGAGAAACTGGAGGTACCTTTGTTGTGGAAAGGTCAGTTGCAAACAAGGCCCCATCAAAACATGCATGTAAACATCTGGAAAATGTCATTCTGGTCTCCCTCCAATAAGCCTGTCGTGATACTGACTTGATTCACTGTAAATGAGTGGCTAGTGAGCTTGCACAAGAACTTTGAATTTCCTTTCACGTCTGGGGATGGCTTCTTGAATGAAAAACTTATCTGCAGCAAGAACGAGGTTTGAGGCACTTTGGGGTGAAGTAAGAAGAGAACATTGGCAGTTTGAATGGACAGAGACTCAGGGAAGGCAAAGTGCTCCCCACTAGGCAGGTGAATTCCTTTGCAGAAAAATATTCTGCAGAGTGAGCTTTCTGTCCACGCTTTCTCTTAGCAAGAAATCGGTGCCATGGTTTTCTCAGATTAAACAGGCATCAGTCAACATGCCCATCTATATTTTCCAACCCAGCACACAAATCAAGTGCTGGTTTTGTCGGCAATCCTTCCTTGTTCACAGTGGATTGTTTCAGCTTGGAAATGTATTTTTTAAGCAATAGCAACCATCCAGAATTAAAGATAATCGACAGGGACATGTGTACCTATCCACGCAATGGGAAAATGCCTTGGCAATGCAAGTCAATTATTCCTTCAGATAAATGATAAATACTAGATAATTATAGAGCGCAAATCCATGGAGATGACAAGACCGCGAAAACGTCTGGGTGGCTTGCTCATTGCTCTTCCAACTGCACATCTCCGTCCCCTGGCCTGAACGCTGAACGTGTGACGCTTAGCAATGCTGGCTGCAGAGAAGAGCCACCGCCGGATGCAGCGTTGCTGCCCGCAACCACCAGCTCGCGATGGAGGGAGGAAGAGGTTCCACAGTTCAAGCACCACCACCGATCAGCGGCTTCTAAACCCAAGAATGACTTATTTATTTTACTCATTTCTCCCCCGATGAGTGCCCTACAGCTGGCAGTCTCAGGGCGAGGTGCAGAATAAAATCAAATGCAATCGAACCAGCAGTGAAATACGGTCCAAGATTTTCCTCCCCACCGTTCATGAAATTCTGTCCAAATCCGGGGGCTGTTTTCAGGCAAAACGTCGGCGGGGTCCAAGCTCCAAAGGGCTTTGGCAGAACGAATCAGGGTCAGGGTCAGGCCTTCTGGCCCCCTCCCATGTGCTCTGGGCTTCCAATTCTCACTTCAGGGCTGGAAGAAGCCGCACCGCACTGGCCTCTCTGCTGCGCCTGCAGCGTAAGGAGCACAGCATAAACCTTTGGGCATTCAGATGGGTTCTCTTCACAGGGGGCGACCAAGGCAGCCTCCAGGTCTAGAAACGAACCCACAGCCGGGCCAGTTATTTCTGTGGCTGTGATGGAAAATATTAAAACAAAATACGCAGAAAGCCGGCGGGCAACAACAGAGACCCACAGGCTCCCTTAGCGGAGAAGCAACAGGTCAAAATGAAGAAATGAATGTGCTGCAGCTGCCGAAGGTCAGAATCGGTGCACAGCCTGCTGTTGTGCTACATGGAGGGTGCAGGGCGGGCAGGGCGGCTCACCCTTCCCACGCAAGCCCTGCTTCTTGTACCAGGAATTATTCCAGACGAACACCAAGCGACGGTCTGGAGGCTGGGCAGCACTGGCCAAGGTGTTAGGACTGGATGCTGCACGGAAGGGCTGTTCTCAGCATCCGAGCACTCACAGACTGGCAAATGCCAGGAAATTAATTCTTGGTAATCGGTAGCCAACGTGGCAGACAGTGGGAGACTCGCCTCGGCCGTCTAATGCTCTCATTCAAATCCAGCCAGAGCTACTGGATGCACTAATTGGCCTACGTAAACAATGCAAAAGGTTTTAAAGTTCATTTTATTTCTTGAAAAATGGATCTGTAAGCTGCTCCAGGAGCCTTTCTGGCTGAAAGGAGGAGTATAAATGCTGCACAAAAATGCATAAAACCAGAATGGCAAAGCACTGTGTTTTTGATGGAAAGCGGGATCATGTAGGAGAGCAGAGAATGCACTTTGAATCCGCATGTCTGTGCTGCAAATGTCTCCAAATACATCCAGCGTACGCTGTGCGGGATCTTGGGAACAACGCTGCAGATTTGGAGGGGTGGATCTGGACAGCGCTGGAGGCAGGCAAAGGCGTGTCAAGAATGCTTTCCGGGCTTTTGCTGGAGGGGGGAGGGCAGGCCTCCAGGGGGAAAGTATCTTCCAAATTAGGAAGGGGCAAAGAGATCCCCAGTTAAGAGCCAAGTCCCAACATACAGAGCCATTGCCATGGCTGGACCGCCCAGCCTGGCCGACCCTTTCCATTCTAGGTACACATGGATCGTGCCCTTCATTAAAACCTTCCCATTGCGGGAGAGCCTTGAAACCAGATGGGCCAACCCGCACTGATCTCGGGGGCAGTCGGGAAACAGGCGATGTGCAGCCTCTCTGCCATTCAGCCCTCATTCAAGGACAGTTAGGTATGGCTCAGACGGAAGCGATCAGCTGATGTTTCCCACTGCATCTGCTACACAAGATGCGGGTGAGCTTTCCCCTCCCCTATAATTCTGGGCGTGTGTGTGTGTGTGTCTGATTGAATCTGTTTTGTGTAGCATTTTGTGCTCTCTCTTTCTCTCCCTCCCCGGCTCTCTCTCTCTGTGCCCCCCCCTCCTACCCCTCCCCGTGTATGTGTTTTAATTATTTTTTTAGCACGACCATTTTTAAAGCAAGAGAAACTTCCTGCAGCATCAGGTCCAGGCTGTTGTCATTCTGGGCACCTTTCCCTCCACACCTGCACAAGCCCAACTATAAAAATAATTGCAAAACATACATTTACCCTCCCTCCAAAAAGCACAAATTTGGGACGCTTTTTTAAAGTGGGGTGAGCAGCCATGGACTGCCACTTCAAATGTGCCCTGGGATTGTGAAAGATGGTCCCCGAAAATGGAAAAGCATGAAAGGGAGAAAAGCTGTCCCTCTCGAAGGCTGTGCGGAGGGGAAGACCAGTTGGTCCCACCGCGGTGTCCCCTGAAACCCCAGGTGGAGCGGGGGGCCGCCTGCGGCGCGCCGGACCGACTGCCGGGCTCTGCGGGTCGTTCTCGAGCAGCCAGCCCATCACGGCCTCTGGGCGAGTGGACTGGGGGACGGCGCCTGGCCAGGCCTCCACGCGCGCCCCCAAGGCCATCCGTTCCGGTGGCTTCGGTGCCTGGCAGGCTGGCGGGGGGGCAAGCTCCAGGACTCGCGTGGGCCCCTCGCCTCCGCAGGCAGGAAGGAGGGTGGCTGTGAGCTCAGCCTGGCGCAGGAAGCGGCCTGAGCGCGCCAGCGGGTCACTTGGACACCCGTCGACCGAAGGCCAGACCGAGGGCGCGCTGGAGCGCCAGGGGCAGCCGCAGCGGGGGCACCGGAGCCCCTGGAGCCGACGCGCACGCCCCCGCAGCGCCCCCGTGCGCCAGCCCCGCCTGCTCGGCACGTGGGCGCCACTCGGAAGCCCCTCATCCGCCGCTGGTCTCCACGTGCGTCGGCAGGGGGGCGAGCCGTCCGCCGCGCGGGCTAGTGCGCGGAGGGGCGCGCCAGGGCCGGCCTCGCCAGCCGCCCTCCGTCCCGGCACGGCGCGGCCCCCTCCAGCGGCTGCCCAACTTTCCGGCCGGGGCTCGGGCCGCCCTGCTCCTCTCCTGCTCCGGCACCTCGGAGGGTCCGGGGCGGCCCCGATCGCAAGCGGCGAGCTGGCGCCCGAGGCAAGACCCTGCCCGTGCGTGGACGCCGGTAGGCGGCAAGCGGACAACGACTGGAAGGGACGCCCCTGGCGCCTGGCTGCCGCATGAGCGGAGCCGGCTGCACCCCTCTCCTTTCCGTGCGCCGCGCTTCCTTGCGGCCGCGGCAGGCGCGGAGAAGACGCCGCCAAGCGCTCCCCGGCAGGCTGGCGGTGCGGCGCGGAGCTTGATGCCTCCGGCCGGCGCCGGCTTGCACCCTGCCGTTTGCTCCGGGACGGCTGGCCAGCCCCGCTGGGAGGCACCGAAGCGCGATCCTTGGCGGGGAAGGGGCTCGCGTGCTTCCAGGGACACCTGTGGCGGAGGAACTGAAGAAGCGGCCGCGGCAGCTGGGGAAGCGGGCAGGTGCCGGGGCAGGCGCGTTTCGCTGGAAACTTTCCGCGAGGGGAGCGGTTGGCGTCTCCAGCATCCCTGGAAGATCGTCACGGATCCTCAAGGAGCAGCGCAGACGGGACGAGCGCCGAGCAGAGGGGCGCCGCTGTCCTTCGGGAGCGGAGAGCGCAGAAGAGGCGTCGCTCCGGAGCCGCTCGAGAGCAGCGCCGTGCGCCCGGGGCGCATTTGCTCGCCGGCGAGGGTCGAGTGCACGCAGCCATGAGCAGGCGCCTGTGGCTCCCCTCCCAGTACGCCTCCAAGCCGCTCGGCCAGGCGGTGGGGCCCAACGGCACCTACTTCTTGCCGCGCCTCTATGCCTTCCACAACCTCTCCTCCTTCTACCAGGACCTGGACGTGGACAACATGGGCGACTTCGACAGCGGCACGCGCTACGAAGGGGAGTCCCAGAGCCGGACGGTGCAGGCGCTGCTCATCGTGGCTTACTCCGTCATCATCTGCATCTCGCTCTTCGGGAACGTGGTGGTGTGCCACGTGGTGGTCAAGAACAAGAGGATGCACTCGGCCACCAGCCTCTTCATCGTCAACCTGGCCGTGGCGGACATCATGATCACCGTCCTGAACACGCCGTTCACACTGGTAAGCCGCTGCGGGAGCCGCTCCCGTGGCCAGGGCCTTCAGAAGGACCCGGATGTCTCTGCACAGGGCTTCTGGGGCACTGGGGGAGCCACCTTTGTGGGCTGGTGCCGGTGTTCAGGGTGAAGTTGAGAGATTAAGAAGAATCATGTCCACAGGTCGCTTGCTTGCTTGCTTGCTTGCTTGCTCGCTCACTCTCCCTCCCTCCCTTCCAAAATTTAACAAAAATAATTAGCAGCAGCTGAGTCACTAGGATGTAAATCTAGAACCAAGGTACACCAGCTCATAAAACCAGTTGGATGTGGAGAGATCAGCTGTAGAACAAGAGAAGCAACGGTAGGCAAAAGTTTCTCTGGCCATATGCAAAGTGCCTTCCCTCCTGTTTTGAAGTGGCTGCTTTGAATTGCATAGTGCATTTCTTTCTTTGGTACCAAAAAGCCCCACGAAATATTAGGCGACTAATAGCTTCTTATCTACGTGTTTATTGGTCTGCCTGCCCATCATCTCTCAATCATCTGTCCATCTCCGTGTTTCTAGTAGCCTTCTATGCATAACATTCCAAGGGGATAAGAACACAGATGCATCAGAGTCTTGTGGAGTCTTGCAGAGCATCCATTTCATTGCAGTGTAAACTTTCATGGGCCAGGGTACATTTCCTCAGAAGCGGCCGACTTGCCCTTTCCCGAGGGTGGGGGGAACCGGTGCATGTCCCCCAAAGGTCTGTCTCGGCCTGTTGGGTTTTACTCACACCTGCCCAAAGGCCGTGCCCGTGCCCAAGATGGCTGCGGGGGCCCAGGAGGATGGGGAGGGGCTCTCACCTGTCTGCAGAGGCCTCCCTGTTTCTGCTGGTGGTGGAAGGAGCTCCAGCAGGCGCCCGTTCTCGGCTCCTGTGAAGCTCTCATTTTCTTATCCAGCGCACAGCTCCTGGCATGTGTCACACTTGTGGTTGATGCGCAGTCTCAGCCGGCCGCCCGAATCCCAGTCTTCCCAGCAGCTGAACCTCACACCCCACTGGGTGCAGTGACGTCTTACCCTCTCTTTTAAGGAGGGGCATGTGCAGCCATGTCCCAGACCGTAGAAGTGCTTTCAAGGAACTGGGGAGGGGGCCAGCTGAGATTACATAACTATCACAATGATCAGGGGAGGAGCTTCCACCCAAAATGGGGAGCTTTGCACCCAGCCCTGTGGGCTCGCTCAGCCCAGTTGCACCGCGGAACCATTAATGCCTTCCCCATTGCAGAAAAGAAGTGGAATGAGTGACCGGCAGAAGAAAAAAGGCTCCTGACCAGCCCTGCCCGGCCGGCGCCCTTCAGGCTGCATCCCAAGCTGCTTAGCTGACAATATGGGAGGCCCGTATTTGCTGCAAGATCTGTAACCGCTTTGTGCGGCAGAGAAAGGACTTCAGGGTGCTTTTGAGAGGGAGGTCAGCACCGACACCTGACGGGCTCGTCCGTGGCTGCGCATTTCAGAATACACGGACTGTGAAAGCTCACCGGGCAATGACAACCAGGTCCTTTTTCCCAGCCTTTTTATGAAGGTGTGAGGAAAAATGGAGGAGAGCCGTCCAACCGCCTCGATCCTTTCAGAGAAAATGTGGGATGGAAAGTCAGTAGAGAGGCAAACGGCTTTGATTCTCATTCGACATGTTTTTATGCTCTGCTATCCCCTCGTAGGTGCGGTTTGTCAGTAGTACCTGGATTTTTGGAAAGCTGATGTGTCACATAAGTCGCTTTGTCCAGTACTGTTCAGTCCATGTCTCCGTGCTGACCCTCACTGCTATTGCTCTGGACCGCCACCAGGTAAGCGCCCGCCCGGCGTGCGAGCTTCCTGATTCTGCACCAGGCAAAGACAGATTCTGCAGGCAGAAGGATTTAAGCCCGTCCAAATCTTAGTGACACGGGAAGGGCTGTGCGACCTTTGGACATCGAGGCCGCAGTGGTGGGGAGAGGCGAGTCCAAGATTTGGAGTGGCAGCTGGAAATGACGAGTCCTGCGAATCTGAGACAAGAGCGCGAGGGGCATCGCAGTCAAAACCCGTGTCTGCATTTCCTGTAGCCGTGCTTCAAAGGCAGCTTTGGCCAAAACGGGCGTTTGGTTTTGAAATGGCCTGCAAGTGTGTCCAGGAGATGTGATGCCAACAAAGCCCATTCCAAGCGAGGGCAAGGCTGTGTTACCCCCTCGCAGAGCCCCTGTAAGCAGTGCCCCCTCCCCAAATTACTTTGGCTGAAAGGTCCCCCCTCGCTTTGGTTTCGTTTCAGCCTTACGCCCTCAAGATATATGAGTCCTACTGATCGAACAGGATGTAGTTTTGGGTAGAGGCTTGTGGATCAGCAAAAGCAGTGACATTCCTCTTACTCTGGCGACGTCTTTAGGTGATCGTCCATCCGCTGAAGCCCCGAATGTCCATTGTGAAAGGCGGAATCTGTATCATCGTCATCTGGGTGATGGCCAGCTGCTTCTCTCTGCCCCATGCGATCTACCAGAAGCTGATATGGGTCCCGTATGGGTGAGTGGAAGAAAGAGGCTCGTGAGTAGTACAGCCACGCCTTGCACTCTGCATGCGCCGAGCAGTGTTGGCCATGCAGCCGGAGAGGTGAGTGAGCCAGAGCTGCCTCTCGGCCAGCCGTTCCGCTGTCCATTGGCCACTGCTCTCCGCTGCCATGCAATGCTGGGTGTCCCCAGAACTGCAGAACCCAGTTGCAAAAACCCAGAGATACACCAGTGCTGGAATTCACACTGATGACAAGTTTTTCAGGCCCAGGGGACATGTGAGGCACCAGGCTTAAAGCTGAAGCCACCATGGAAGGGAGGGCCTAAAAACTGAATCATAGATGTATTCCAGGATACTGAGGTCCTGAAGTTCCATTTCAGAATTAAAATATGCAGATTAAAAATTAAATAGCTGGAGGCTGCCAAGGGGAGAGGAGGAAGCTGGTGTTCCAGCATAAGTACACCGGTTGTGCTTGAAGTAAGCATATTCTAAGGGGCTTGCCTAGTATGTCAACAACAGGGTGGGCCAAACGTTGGTCTTGGTGAGCTTGAGCCGCGGCAGCTCCGTTTTTTCCCTCTTTGAAAAATAAAAGATGGAGAGCAGAGTGAAAGAGAACTGGCATTTTGCACAGAAACAGTTTTTGCACAGGTCTAGTTTTTCTCAGCCTCGCATGACAAACGGCTGCAGCTAAATTTCGTCTGCTGTGCAATTGTTAAGGTCTAGGAGATGGCTCATTCCCCCTCCCATCTGGTTATGCCAGAGACAAAGCAGGGATGTGACAGGGAAGGTTTTAGGAAAGAAGACGGCAGACGTTGCTCCGTGTCACAGGTTATCGTTAAAGGAGGGTCTTAGACTGGGTGCGTTGCGAGGTGCTGGGTCGGTCACCTCCGACCTGGTAAGCCCACCTAAAGGAACAACTTCTCTGCTCTTTCAGCAACAGAACTCATCGGATGGCCTGCCTCTCCAACTTCCCTGCCCCGACCGACCTTTATTGGAAGTACCTGGATCTAACCACCTTCGTCCTTCTGTACGTGCTGCCTTTGTTGGTGATCTCCATCACATACACCATGGTCGCCAAGAAGCTCTGGATGAGGAACGCGATCGGTGACGTGACCATGGAGCAGTACCACGCCCATCAGCGGAAGAAGAAGATGACCATCAAGATGCTGATGCTGGTCGTGGTGGTCTTCGCGGTCTGCTGGTTCCCCTTGAACTGCTACCTGGTCCTGCTGTCCGGCAAGGCCATCCACAGCAACAACGCCCTCTACTTCGCCTTCCACTGGTTCGCCATGAGCAGCACTTGCTACAACCCCTTCATCTACTGCTGGCTGAACGAGAGCTTCCGCTCGGAGCTCAGGTCCCTGCTGGGCGTGTGCTGGAGGCCGGAGGTCTCTGGGAGCCATGCGCTGCAGTCCCTGTCAGCCCCTTTCAGGCATGCCTGGGAGGAGAATTTCCCCTGCAAGCAGGCCGTCGTGTCTCAGCAAACCAGAGACGAGAACTCTGCCTGAACGGACAGCTCCGTAGTTCAGCCAGTCATGATGGGCACCTGTGTCTCCGATGGGAAGGCCCACCAGGCATCAGGGAAAACAGGACCTGGTGACGGCTTTCCACCAAAACACGTCCAGTGCACAATTTGGTCGTGATTTCCTGTGGCTGCTTCAGCTCTCCAGGAATTCTGTCCCACTGATAGTGTTGCAACGGTCTTTTGTGACATGATCCTGGCCGTTGAGTGCGACTTCTCCCTTCACATGCTGGAACCTGGAAGGCTGGTCTTGCTCTTCAGACTTAGTTCCCAAGCCCCCCTCAGGGACACCCGCAAATTTTCCCGTGCTTTTTTTTTTTTTTTGTACACATGACTGTGTGCACACCAAAAGCAATGCAGCACGATATTTGGACAGAGAAGGAGTGTTCCAGTGCCCAGCCCTTTGTCCTGAAAAGAACCTCCCTGGTTTGGACCTGGCCTACCAGAGGAAGAGACACCAAGTGCACAGAAATGCCCTCCCATTGCAAAAATCAACATGTTAGGGCTAAAAACTTGCTCTTTCTACATTTTAAAAGTGGAAGTGTTTCCCCTTCCACTTCTGGACAATTCCATCCTGCATTCTAACTCCAGACTATGTTTCAGTGGTGAAATGTATCCGTTTAAATAGATCCAAGTCATGAGCAGTAGAATTTATTTTTAATGGGTGTGGTGTGGTGTCTGTAGGTTCCAACAGCTTCTTTTCCATTAGCAATTAAGAAGCACAAATTTGGCCTTGGTATCTTGGGAGCATAATGAGCCCAGGTGCAGGTGGAAAAGTCTCCCTCCCTCCCTCCCTCCCTCCCTCCCTCACATGTGGTCCTTCCTCCAGCTGTGGGTTCATGCATACAAGCGTCTTTTTGTACCTGGGTGAGGGTCCCTTCCTGGATTGGAGCACGTCTGTGTAGGAAAACACAGGGCCTTTTCATTCATCCTTATTGAAAGTTGGACACTTTTCTCGCATGGCAAAATTCATTTCCAGAACTTGTTTTGTGACACAGTTGTAACTTTGCTAACCAGCATTCTTTCCTGAATAAGACCATTTCTTTGGTAAATTAAATTAAATCCAAATTAAGTGGTATTATTTTTAGTTCACTAGTCCAGTTTTCAGGAGCTGAACATGCACTGCCTGATGTTTAAGCATCTCTTCCTGTCGTTAATGTTACCGCACAGGAAACTCAGACAGGTACCTGCATCAACAGCTTTTATGAACTGAAGGATTTGCTTTAAAAAATCCCTTTTAAAACTCAGCATAGGAACTGGCAGGGAATTAATTTCTACATGACCCTTACCATTTCATAACTGACTTAATATATATGTAGGTTGTGTTGTTTATGTAAATAGATTTTCAGATATGCTAATACAAATACAAGTGTTTGATTAAAACATGATTCATTCACAACAATAAAGCAGTAATTGTCAGCTGGGAGCTGAGGGTGGCAACTGGTTCTTTCTGGTTAGACTTCCGGCTCCAACAGAACACAAAATGATTCCATTTAATAGAAAATGTGATTTGATGAGTTCCTTTCTCCATTTTCTGAATCCCACCATATGAACAATGTTAATCATACTGCCTGTATTCATCTGCAGACATCTGTTAATACGGTCAGGAAAATATGAAGCGATCGGGACTAAAAATTCAAGGAGATGCATTTATTTTTCACTTTCTTAGAAGCAAGATTTTGTGGACTAGCAAAATCCAGTGGCAAACCAAACCACACACTCTCTGAACTCTTCTGGAATGGAAGTCAAGGTTATATTGATTCATCTTACTATTTATATCTTGTGAATTCTGTCTCTCCATGCCTCAAGCATTAGAAAAACAGTCTTATCAGGATGCATCCCTCATCTACCACCAGTTGAGTTCTTTTCTGAACTCTTGTTCTCACAGGACAGACTTTTGTTCTGAGAGCTTCTCTGCAGGGACGCTGGGATGGAAGTCTATTTCATCCTGGATTGGTCTGAAAATTTATCCAGGCGCCTCTGGAGATGATGTGGCACCAATTCCATGTGCATCTCTGAGAGAGAAAATTGGCTATTTTCTGCGGAACCTCCCCCCCCCCCCACACAGACAAATCCACTCACCCAGCAGGCTGAAGCGCTTCCATGCACAGATTGGAGCGCTATGTGCCATCAAGTAATCTCAGACTTATGGCAACCCCAGGAATCTCCTGTCTGTGACAACCCGGCTCAGCTCTTCTAAGTTCAGGGCAATGGCTTCCTTTATGGAGTCCATCCATCTCTTATTTTCTGCCATGAACACCCCTCCATCCCTGAAGATCCAGCTGCTGCCAAAGACGGAAGAGCAGACCTGGTCAGAATCCGTGGACCTAGCTGCACCACTGGCCTGGCACGAAGCCAGGGCGCTCCGGGTTCAAGGCAGGCATTCTGCGACTGAGCTGCGGGCCTCCTGCCTTCCCTGAGGGGCCCCTTGGCCTCCACCAGTTGATCTTCCATTCGGTTGCTATAGCAAAGCCTTCATATCTCGCCTTCTCGTGCTGCATTCTAGCCACTTGCAGACAACTTCCCCTGCCCACCTCCATCCTATTTCTTCCTTTAACTTCTATTCCACATTAATTAGTCTCCAGGTGGATAAGACACACAAGTCGGCCAGGCTTTGGGCCCACTGAGTCTGAACTGTCCCCCTCCGCCTCTAAAATGCCTCGTCTTTCAGCAGCTCCCAGCTTCTCATGGACAGACGTGAAACTGAATTTCGCCCCGCAGCTCATTCCACCGTCTCCGAGGGTTCTTGTGCCTTGAGCAGTTGCTGTCCCCCGGGATGCTCTGCCGAGCTGCTTTGATGGATCGCTTGCGGGGTGGGAAGCCGCAGCCCCCTGCTCCGCACACCCCTCTGTGCTGAGCTCTGGGAGGCAGACTCTGCTTGGTGTGGCTGCCAGACACAAGGATTCCTCCTTGCAGAAAGCTCGCCTCGCCAGCCTGAGAAGCTCTCCGCAAAGATTAGTCTTCATTTGAGTCTCTCTCCTGGTTTATAATCTAATTGAAGGCACAGGCATGGGCTTTGAAAGGCAGCCTGTAAAGTGTTGCCACCTGGAAGGCTGGGTGTTAAGGGGGGAAATGCACAAGCTCACGACTTAAGGCCTGGAAGGGAGAGCGGAAAGAGCCATGCCTTTCTCCAGGCTGTGCTAGACACCAGAGCAGGAGACTTGCAACAGAGCTAACAGCCCTTCTTCGTGAACCCCGGGGATTACAGCGGCCGCAGAGGAGGGTGGGCACACCGCTCCCTGCTGGGGTGGCCAAGGCGCCCGCATCTCAAAGCCTTGCAAATGAAGAGGCTGGAGGGATGAACGATTTTCTCTGATCTTCAGAAGCTGGTCTGAGCCTTCTTGCCGAGATGGCCACACGTGGCTCGCTCTGCCTCCACGTGGAGGAGAAAGTCCGCCCAGGCCTCCTGCTGCCAAGAAGGCAAGCGGGGAGAGGGGGCTGTGGTATCCAGTGTGTTCCCTTTTTCCATCTGCTCCCCCTTGGCCCATTGATCGGGAGCTTTCTGTCCGTCCCTTTGTACTGTCCTTGGACACCGTAAACCATCACATTGAAAGGCAGTCTTTCCGAAGTTCCTTTTCGAGAGGCCATCTAAAAGCTCTTCATGAACCTGCCACTTCAGTCTGGGGAAAAAAGCACCGCTTTGTCTCTCTCTCTCTCTCTCTCTTTTTAAAAGCATCTGATTGCTGCCATTGAAAGCAAAGCAGAGAACAGCATCCCATGCGGAATCTGCTGGTGCTGCTGGGCACAACAAAATAGAGGATGAGAACCAGGTCCTGCAACAAAGCGTTGCAGCTCAGGCGCTCTTTCCCCATCAGTCTGCCTTGCCCTGCTCCACCTTACGGCATCCCATTCTCGATCCCATTCGTTTTCTCAGGTTCTCTCTCCCGGTCCCTTTTGCAACCGTTTTTGTGGAAAAGCAGGCATCCCTCAGCCCTCGGCACTTGCTCTTCATGGAAAGCACCCCACCTCTTGCGCGGCGCTGCCACCATTTTCTCAGCAATCATTTCTCTCGCCCTGATTTAAAAGCCAAGAGGGCTTGACACGCTCGGGATAAAGAGAGGTGCCCCAGAACCTGCTTAGCCCCACCGTAGGGTAGCCAGCCTCGGCTGCACACAGCAGCTGCAGGCATCTCTCCTGCGGACTTGTGGTTCCTCACCCACTGTGGATCCTGCACGTGGATCCTGGCCCTTCCAGGGCTCTCCCATGCTTTGCAACCATTTCTGCAGCCTATTAGAGCAAGGAAAGCAGGCTATTATCTGGAAATTGCACATGTAATTTTTGCCATTCTGCTATGCTTGTGGTCGTAAAAGGGAACACTCAGAAAGGCAAGGAAGGGCAAACTCTGAGGGGAAAGGAGCTGTAAAGAGCCAATCCCAGGCCCACAGAACACCGGGAAGCAGACGTCCAGTGAAGCGGTGGCTCATACAGAGAAATCTGCAGTGTGTGTAACAGGAGTGGATGCAGGTGAAACAAACAAGCAGGTGTGTTTCTGTGTCCACGGGCGAATAGTCTCCCACACAGAGATGTAAATTCTGACGACTCTGAGTTGGGAGCTGAGTCCTGGTGAAAGACAAAATGAGGGACCAAGCCTCAACCAAACCAGAACACGCTTCCCACACAAAGGCAGCGCGTGGACAAAAACCTCCTGGGACTGAGGCACCCGTGAAAGGGACAGGTGGAGGATCTGGGGCTTCGTGTCCGCTTGTGCCCTCCCATGTCAGTTCCTCCGCAAACGGTGCTCTCATGCAGAAGATGCTGTCAGCTCCCCAGGCTCCTTCGGCTGAAGTCCTGTAGAAAAGAAGACTCTGGCTGCACAGCTGGATAGAAAGTCCTGAGGGTCTTGGCGCCACTCTTGAGGGAGATGATGCCCAGAGCAAAGCAAGATGGCGGCTGCCTTCGGCCACTTGGGATCTTCACGGGGGAGTCCTGGCAGCAGCCCGGTCACGGCGACCGCCCCGTGGGACCTACGGCTGCTTGCTCCAGGGTGTGAGCCGCACGGGTGCGGAGTGTTTGGTGCGGTGTCCGTGCCGGAGGAACCTTTCTCGGCCACCTGCTG